AAAACAACTCTACTGCAATAATTAAAAACGGTAAGGGGAAATTTTTAATTAATGTTTTCGGTCCTGGATAGAAGACTTAACATTTTTGTAAAAATAGCTATGAAATAAAAATGAACATGCATGGTATTTCATTTCATGTTCATGTATAAACTTAATATTTTATTTTAATAATTTCAATTTTTCTCTTTTAAATTTGGCTTCCATTTATTAATGGTAAACATATTCCACAAATCAATTTGTGGAGCAAATACAATTTTTTCGATTGTTGGCAAATTCCAATGCTTATTACCAGGCAATTAGCAAAAGATTTACATTAACCAAGCAGAATAATAATTAAAATGTATACCTAAGTTCAATGATTATTTTAGAATTTTATAGAAATAGTATCATATAGTATAAGCAGATTTAATTAAATTTATTAGGAAAACTGACAGCTTTTTACGATTATTTCTATTTCTTGTAACGATTCTCATCAAGGTTCCTTCAGCTATAGTAACTTCATGAAATTCTTTCCTCTTAGTGAGCTAAATCGTATGCAATTGTTCTATCGTTCTTGCGGCACAGAGCCGGAGATAATTGTATATAGGAAAGTTTAATGAGTTTCCTGAAGTTGGATGACAAGGTTACGAAAGTTGATCTCTCAAGTTGAAAGTTATGGTAGACATTCGCTGTTCTGGAATGTTCATTGAAGCAATCTAGAAGCGTGTGCAGCGGTGGATGGCTGGCATGGCTGGAGCAAGTTAGAGGTCGGATGATAGTGAATTTCGGGTCAGGTAATAGTGAATTTCCCGAGCCTTCATTACCTGTACTCGTGTAGTCGGTCTAGATCAATACGGTGTCTTCTCTGGAAGTATAACCTCACTTAATTGGTAGTTATGATTTATTACCTGTAATTATGAATATACTATAATTAAGACCTATAATTCGATAATTCCAGGATTCTTCTAATATAGTTATTGCTAATATTTTATACGTTCTATGATAATATTCTGAAATTTTAATTTATACTTCATTGCAACTCAATGTATAAAATACCTAATTTAACTTTATTGACGATCTAACGTTTACAAATATTTGATAGGTCGCCTTAAACGAGAAGGCCTATTTGAATATAACTCATGTCATCGACATGAAGAGTAAACAATAAGTCACTAAAATAATTGACAGGGAGTTAAAACTGCAGAAAATTTTATTTTCAAATGAAGTCAAATAATTTAAGTGAAGTCAATTTGACACCCTACGATTGACAAGGTAAAGTTTCCAGTCAAAAATAACAAGTAAATAATTAACTGCTTGAAACCATGTACTAACAGGTCCTCGATTATTACCTATGTGAATTCGGATTGCCATTATTTATGCTTTCAGCCATGGATTTACTTAGATTAAATGAAAAGAAGAGCATTTGAAACCTTTTCAGTTAGAGAAATTTAACCTAATTGCTTTATTGCTTCACCTTAAAACGCTTGAAAGCTTTGAATGAACATTACTTAAAGTTTACTTAAAACTCGCGACTTGCTTCCGGACCTAGAATTTCGACAAAAAAGGGTTGCGTTCACCATCTAATCTATAAAAATACGGTACTTTAATTACCGTCAACTACTGACTAAATCGTTAGAATTTAGAGAATAATCTTTTTATTGTCAAATGTTCTGATGTTTTCAGGCACCCTGAATTAACTCATTCAAATTGCACCTCTACGTTATAAGTAATTCTTGCATGACACAAGCCTTTTGTCGCTGAATATCGGTCATAACTGAATATACGTTCTGATATGCATCCGTGTAGTTGGGCTTTCTAGTCATTTTATGACTTAGATTTATGCTAAGAGAAAATGGCTCATGACGTCACTTGATTTTTTAGCTCAACTTTCACTTGACCAGCGGAAAGGGAATTGAATTTTAATACAGTCTGTCTGAATAAATTTTTGCAATCATCAGCTACGAGAAGGTTCTTCACAAGAGTTCGTACAAATGACTGATAAATGTGCACTCATAATAATGAAAGCTTCATGAAGTCAATAATCATAATCTTGAGTTACAACGTTCGGAGTGATCCAGCCGCCCTCTGAACATTCGTGTATAGGCAGCAAGCTATCTGATCAGAAGTGCAGTAATGCATTAGCCTAGCTTGTGATTACGTTCATTTGGAATAAGGTAAAATCTTATGTAAAATCGGCAAATTTCCTGATTTAGAACCGACTAAACCCTTTATACTTCAAATGATTACCTCCACTTCTGCAAAATTAACACATTTCTTGTGTTTGGTAGAGATCTAAGATAATTTTCAATTGCCTAATAATTAATTAGGATAATCTAGATCTAAGATAATTTTCGATTGCCTAATAATCAGAAAAGGCAGCAAGCCGAATAACTGGAATTATTACACTCAATATGCAGTTGTATATTTAACTTATTGTTTAAGTTTGATGCAGATAAAGTTCATTTGCGGCATTTATTTCTTAATTGTTTCATTAATATGAAACAATTATTCCTTACATAATTCGCATGCTACGTTAATTAACTCTTCCCTAGGTAACTGTCCTTCCTGCGCATGACTTTAAAGTATTTCTTTTGTACTCGTGCTGTTGAATTTAACTGCGTTTTAAGCAAGTGCGTCAACTAATCGCTGTTTGAGAACTATAAGTCATTTTCAGGCACATCTAGGTTGTCAACATCGAACTTGAAGGCATACACATACAGGCATGATAGTAACGCTACAAAGAAAGAAGTTCCTTCTCCATCTATAGTCATCACTCTAAATCCGCTATTGGCAAACTATCGCCAAGCTATCCTTACCGTCTGCATTGGAAGCACTACTAAGCCGTGACATTGCGTCGGCTATCACATCTTCTTCTCCTGGTCAATAAATACTCTATTTCGAAGTCATATTCTGCTATCTCATTTAAAATGCGTATTAGTTTCAGCTGGAGAAATTGTTGTAGACAAAACGAAAAAAAGCAGCCCATTCAGTATAAGCTTTAAATGGATTTTTCTTACTAGGATTAGCGGGCTTGATGTTTGTGATAGGCCTTTTATGAAGGATTTTAGACAAATCATTATGTTGAGGTAGAGATGTTCCAATAGGTACAAACATTACATTTTATCTAGTAGGTTTGTAAGGCGCGTTCAAGCTCGTGTAAGATCCTAGGTCGGCGCAAGAAATTCGCGGTCAGAATACCGCGAATTTCTTGCGCCTTCACCAATCACTGTGAGACAATCAAAATCAATAAGTGTTTAACTCCAACAACCTCACGTGGAAATTAAAAACTTTCGAAAATTAAAACTTTCGAATTTTTTACTAACAAAGTGCAGTTAAACAAAATTATTATTATAAACGAAACTAATACCAGTACGTGCAGTTTGAAATACATAGTAGTTGTGCATTATAGGCATTATAATGATTATATATAGTTGTGCATTATGTGTCCACACAGAGGAATTGTATTCGGATCACTTCACTATAATGTCTCTACACATGCAACCACACTACCATTGTTACAAAACATGCTAACTCGCAATTTGGGGTTCCATAATTCCTGAGGCGCAAAATGGCTAGCTGAAGTGAATCTAAAAAATTTGTCTGCAATATACAACGGAATTTTACTTAGGGAATCTTGAATTAATCACTGTTAAGGAATGCCGCTTTTCGCACAAAGAAGAAAATGCCACAACATTGCCGATGAAGTCAGATGTCATAGCGCTCGTATCGTGAGCAGTGGACTTCCGAGGTGCCGTAATCCATTCAAAGTGAATGGATTTATTGTGCATGGAGTGAAAAGATTAAAAAAATATAACTCAGTACTCACTGCAGTGAGTGACAGAGAGCGCATTTTCTCATCGACAAAGACTTGAGGTCACGGACGGACGGACGGACAGCTAGACAGACAGACAGAAGGAAATGGCGAGCACAATAGTGCATTTTTCCATAAATGAGAAAATGCGCTAAAAAGCACTAATGGAAAACATTAAACGCTTGAATAAGCTCAGTATCAATTGTAGTTGAATTTTTAGGCTAAACTAAAGAAACGGTTTGAAGGAATTGATTTTTGAAATTATTCATGAACTGCATGAGTGGTCTTGACAAAGAAGCTTTTAATTCGATTGAATTGGGAACCTACTGAAAACAATCAACTATTGGTTCATATTAGTCCTTTACAATAACCCGATTAATATAAAATATACTAGTTTTCGCAGGTGGAAGCTTTTGTGCGTCAATCGTTACAATGATTTTTTATAAATTTTGTATATCTTTGACCTTGTAAGGCATGACTGGGCTTCCGAGCTTCCGAAGCCACAGTCGCTGCTCAGATCTGAAGCGAAACATGCCATGAAAATTAGGAAGATCATCTGAACGGCTTACTTCTGGTCATTCTTTCGGAATTTGATCTTGGGCTGACCGAGGTAAATTGTTCTTACTATTTTGTTAAGTTATTTTGTTTTAGATTTCTGGGGCCGTAATATCAAAACTCGCTTAAGCAAATATTGATGTAAGTACACGTACGTTGCGGCATTAGTAATCATAACGGCCTAATTAAGTGCACGTAGCCGTGTACACGTAGCCGTGTACTATCGTAAGTAAATAATGTTATTTATTTAATTATCGTCAGTAAATAATGAGTTTGCACTGAAAAGCCGTCAGTGATTGGCTGACGAAGTTACGAATTCATGGCTGTTTCTGATCGCACGGCCCCTGATGCCTGCTGATCTGAAAGATAAAAAATGATTTCCAAGCTTTCAAGAAAAAAGATGAGCAGTAGTCTGAAATTTATCTCTTTGCCCAGTATTAATATTTTTTGTTTATCGCGCTGTCGAAATACATAATTCAAACAGACATTTTTATCGATAGATTTTCGTGACGACATAGCTGTTGCATTATGAACTTACTAAAAAGTTTGATTACTTAGATTGAATTTATGATTTCGAGGATGACTTATAATAAAACTATACTAATTACTGCTTGTTCCTGATTCAGCTTACTATTTGTGGTCACTTTTCACGCAGTTGCTGAGCGGGTGGCCCTCGGCTCAGCGAACTCTAATTCTGAGACTTTCTCCTACTGCAACGTAGGAGAAACTGCTCCGTTCGTTGGAGACGTAGGAGAACGTAGGAGAAACTGCAACGTTCGTTGCTACTTTCGTAGCAACGAAAGACAGCCCTGCATGGGCCCGGCAGATTAATATTAAGAATTGGCGGCGAATATTTTAATTCCTTACACACGTACATTCTCTTTCTTGCGACGTTGCTTCATAGTTGTACTGTCAACGTCCTGAAAAGTTTCATTACTTAGAATAGATTTATGATTTTAAGGATGAAGTATAATAAAACTATACGAATGACTTCTTGTTCCTGATACAGCATACTATTTGTGGTCACTTTTCACGCAGTTGCTGAGCGGGTGGCCCTCGGCTCAGCGAACTCTAATTCTGAGACTTTCTCCTACTACGCTCGAGTCCATCAGACTTCCGCTTGACAATAATGTAAGTTTGTAATAAGTACCATTATAGAATTTATTTAAAGGATATAGTGTGACAATTCAGTCCCAAAATTAACTTGGCTAATCTTTCTGCAAGATCTCTTGTCACGTGCAGTCCTTGTAATTATAAAATTCAAAATTCTCATAAGAAAATAAGTTATTCACGGAAAGACGCAGTTATATTCAAACATACTTTAGAGTAGTGTATTGGAAGAAACTTATTATCAGTGTTTATCTCGAAACGTCCTCATAAATGATACATAAAAGCGTCCACTTCGTGACGTATAAACGTCACAACCGCCAAAATTGTTCGCACAAAGAAGTATTTATGCAATCTAAAATCAAATTAATACACAATATTCAATGACTGCGAGAAAATGTGTAAAATTAAGCGGGTTATTGCAACCAATCAATCAGAATTTAAAAAATTTCATGTCTAAAATTTATTCCAATAAAAAGTGTACTGGCTCCCAAGAATTAAGTGAACCTCTGAAACCGAGCCATTGTTCCTGTGGTTCTCTTTGTTCCTTGAACTGCTTATTATTTTTGGGTGAAAACACTGGTCTTATATTTCGAGCTTCGATAGGCTTTTCGATAATTCAAAATATTTCGCTTCTCTCTATCGTTAAATTAAACTAATTAATTCAAAACCTACTCGACGCTAGAAAGTAAATACTTCTAACTCATGTAGCAACGAAAGGCATCCCTGCATGGGCCCGGCAGATTAATATTAAGAATTGGCGGCGAATATTTTAATTCCTTACACACGTACATTCTCTTTCTTGCGACGTTGCTTCATTGTCAAAGATAAGTCACGGTTGTCAATAATAAAATTTGTTTCCGCATAATAGTCTCCTTGAATACTTTTTATTGCAACCATTTATTCCATATACGCTAGACGAGGTAGGAGATTTATTGTGTTAAGGGATTTATTCTATTACAGTTTTGCTCGACAGTAATTGATTAGTAGTGCCTCGTCATACCTGTTTCAGGTTTTGTTCGCTGACATGCTCATGTCTGATGCGACTCAAGATGAACAAAGAGATCGAAGCAGCTTTCAAGTTTCTCACGAGCAAGGCAATCATACAGCGCATAATACCAATGAACCTTCACGAGGAAAAAGCCTACAGCCGACGTTCGTTCTTTGGCAAACTTACTGCGTTAATCCGACTACAGCTTCGATTCAGCTAAAATACGGACACTGGGTGACATCTTTTGCACTTATTTGTAGTCTTAAGATATTCACACGAAAATAAAATACTAAATTAAAGTTTAATCCTTTATTAAATTAATCTCTACAATAATTTTTCGTTTTGAAAACGTCTCCTTTTTCGTCGAAGGCGATTGATTTTTGAAATTTCCAGAAGCCCTCAAAATACAATATGAGCTATAACAATAATACATGATTTGCAGAATTAATGTTCACTAATGTGTAATCAGAAGAGGTTGCCACTGTCAGAGAGTTGATAGACGCCAAAAGTTTATTCTCAAAGCTCAATATTATGGACTCAAGCTTCATACTTTAAGATTCATAAATGTAATAGCGCCAAATAATGTCCTATTTAATTAAGAAAAACAACTGTAAATCACCATTATCTTAAAATATATACTTAAAAATATATACTTAAAATATATAAATCAGGTGTATACACAATATTATTTCACATTGAACTTGCATCGAATGTGACTGATATAAATTTGACCTGACCTGAAGTGGTTGTTGTGGTCACCGAGACACATCAACTTGGCCTACTTAATTTTATAGGATCTGGTCACGATAGTCTGCAATTGCACAACTACTTCAACCAACACAAACAATCCACGTGCTGATCAGAATTCCTGGTCGTACAGTACCAACACAAGCAACCCACGTCAGAATTCCTGGTGGTACAGTGCCCAGTACAATCAGAATAGGAGACTAAGTCTTAATGCTTCTTTTAATTATTCTACAATCAGAGTAGGAGACTAAGTCCTAATGCTTCTTTTAATTATTCTACAATCAGAGTAGGAGACTAAGTAGTAATGCTTCTTTTAATTATTCTGCTTAAATTTTAGAGTGCAGGAAATGTCCTCCCGGCAGTACCGCATGACCTGGCCGAGAATCGCTCGGACTTGCTGGGAGCTTCTCTGGCGTGCGTCTCTGAGACGGTAGGATCCTTGCGCTTAACGTGCAAGCCTCGGTCAACACGCATGCGTCTTCTATGAGATTATTCGGTGCAAGATATTTGTCTCCAGGAAGTTTCGGTTAAAAACTCATCAACTATATTTGTTTTTTTTTAATGCCCGTGTGTGTTGACCCAGTCTTTTCGAAAACACACAAGAAGAATTTGCATTTTCAAATAATCATGCAAAATAAAATAGTTTTTTAATCCTATATATCCCTCATAATAATGATAGTTTTCGATGACAATGCCTGATGAAGCCTCAGCGAAGACATAATATGTTCCAAAGTTTGAATACATAATAGTTTACTTGCTTTAACCATTTGCGGGCAACAATCAAAACGGTGAAGTAGACATAAAAATACACATTATGTCGCATTCCGAAATTCTTTTACGTTCAAATGTTATGGTCGACCTCTACCAAAAGTGTCTTCAGAGTATTGTAATTGTAGAGTTGAATTATTTTCGCTAAATATCACAATTTGTTGCTCCGGGTTCACTGTTCAGTGCGTCACGCTTGTTGATTGAAGCCTGACACAGTGATAGGCTTCATATATATATATATATGACTTTCAGATATATGTTGTGGAAAGAGGAATGACCTGTGAACAGTCGTTATAGATCAATTCTTTGAAGATAGAATATGTATACATTTTCGAAGCTCATGAAATTGGTAGAAATTAATTTCAATAATATTTCATCGTTCTTCAATACTGTGATAAAAAACACAAAACAAAGATTAGCACTAAATGTCTTGCGATAGCGTTACAAAGTTACAGTTTACGTAGCCACCAGGGGTATGGTAAAAATGTCTGCGAGTCTTCAAAGTTGTAATGTTTATTGGGAAAATGCCATTTTGATTTCCCGTTTGTTCGGGTTTCCATGACAATGTTAGAAGAACTTCGAAAGAACATCTACCAAATTATTTTTTAACGTGGTACCACTTCTACAGGATTCTTTTGCGGTGAACGTAGACTTCAGTCCAGATGGGCAACCTCGTTTTACTGGTTGGATACCGGATTTTCTGAAGCGTATTGAACAAGATCTGAACTTTACGTAAGCTCAATTGTTTGTTTTAGCTGTAATTTGTATTTAGCTATCATTTTGAGTGCGTTGTATGCATAAATGATGTAGATAAATTAGTTCTCTTATTATGATAAAACATTTCAACGAATTTAATGAATTGATTCACATTTATCATAGATACCCAAGGCTTTAGTATTATGGTAAAAAATTTCGCTTACTAAGCATAATGGTAGGTGCAACGAGAAAGGGATATATACCAAAACTGAAAATTTTTCCTGAACGCGTCTTTCGATTGTTCTTTGAACTAAAATCATGTCGGAGCATTTGTTGATATGCATATTTTTACTAAGACTCCGTGTGGACTGCTCCGTACGGAGCAGTCCACCAAATTTAAACAGTCAAGTTTACATTCATATCACTTACATGCACGATATGGAAAGCGCCGATTCGTGCTGTTGTGCATGATCCTGATAATAAAAATATGGACAGTAATTATTTGGGTAATAATATTATGTATATGGGTACATTATTTGCATTTAAATGTATCGAGGGTGCTAAGCATATTACTACTACTTGTCGCAATTACTATATAGTATAATATATAGTATAATATTACTACTTGTCCCAATATCATAAAACGGACTTTAATGTTGGATATATACGCATGATGTTTCGCCGTTGTTTTCAAGTAACGCATCAAAATATAGAAGCTACAAAAAAATATAAGAACAGAAACTCTGTGTAAAATATGTTTTAAATGAACATGCTTTACATGTTTTAAATAAACATGTTTTCATTTTTTAAGATGAAGCAAGGAAGATGAAGACAGTTATAAGACAATTGTGTCCATTGATTGCTGCGAAAGTTGTGCGTCTAATTTTTCATTGAAATCTTCTCCGATAATCAAAATCAACATAGGTAAATAAATATTCAGCTGTAGCGTGCCTGTAAATTAATATGCAATGTAGTTTTATGACTGTCTAGTACTTATAATATTAGCGGTGGCAACTATATGAGACAAAATAAATAAAGCAAACAATTAGTTAAGTTCGAATGAATATACATTCTAATCGAATAGTTGAACATTTAATTGGAATAAATGTATATTAGATCGAATAAATGTTCATTTGGCTAGAATAAAAGTATATTAAGCCCAAATAAAGGTACGCTTAATTCGAATAAACATACATTGTTCTCAGGTGCAACCTGCGCCTACCACCTGACCGCAAGTGGGGAACCCTCAACCCCGACGGCACGTGGACAGGCATGGTAGGCGAGGTGGTCGCTGGCAGAGCAGAGTTTGTGGTGGCCACGCTAGACAGCACCGTCGAGCGTGCGCGTGTGGTCGACTCGCTTATTCCTATCTCCACCACGTGGTAAATATTTGGTTTTGTCATTATATATGTTTTATTATACAAGGCACGTTATAAAAATTTTGTGCAATGAGCGCCCCAAAAGGGTGTTTGGGTTAGATTTTTTTATTTTCCGTGCACATTCCTCTCGCGTGATCGAATATTATTAGTTTGAGGATTTTTCACGCCTTTGGCGGAAAGGCTGACAAAATAAAGGAGGCCATAACTCCGATATTAATATGTTACTATTTAACTCCTAATCAACATAAAATTGAGATTTTTTCCATTGAACGTAGCCGCAGAGCCAAAAAATAACGATATAACTTGAAATAATGACTCCTAAGTGTATTTGTCTGCAATGAATACTTGGAACTACTTAAGCAATCAAGATTACGCGAAAGAATCAACGACACGGATACTTTTATACTTCTCATCTTGATATTCGAACTTGTAATAAATAAGTAAACATCGGCGAATAATTTTCCACCCGTAAAGCAAAAAAATTTACGATGATGTAACTAGGAGATTTATTACTTCAACAATTTTTGTCCCATAGACCACGCATAAAAAAAGTTTATTTATTTCATGACTTCCAGGACTTCCCTGTACATGAAGGCCGGCTCACAATTCGGGTCTCCGTGGATTCGCTACACAGAAGAGTTCAGCCCCAGCGCTTGGATCGTCCTTCTTGCGGTCGTCATCACGACGACGATTATCCTGTACCTCGTCATGCACAGATCCCCTGGAGAAACCGTCACTTGGGAACTTAGTGAAACTTTACTAATTGTGACGGGGCTGTTCGCTTCTCAAGGTAATTTGTAGCGATGAGCAGGACGCGATTTGGGCAAGAATGCATCGTCGGGATAGAAAAAAAAAATTCTCAAAGTTTGCATGCAATTGAAGTTCTCGCTGGCGCTAAATAATAAATTTGCGCCTAACTGTTTTCTGATATTGTGTATTCATAGATCCGACGCTGACATGCGTTTGGTTCGTTCCTTTTGATGGGATTAAAAGCAACCGCATTATGAACAACTTGTACGTTTGTGGTGAACAAATTAATTATGAAAATAAAAACTAAAGAACGTCAGTTTCTAAGTGAGAAATCAATAAAGGATTGCAAGAGGTAAGATCATAACACCATAAGCATCGTGGATATGCGCACCAACAGCCCATACATATTTCCATTGCCAGGCTTCAGACACACAGACACGCAAACTTTGGCCAAAATGAAATGGATTTCTAGTATTCTGGCTTACATTGAATTCTCTTCTACCATCATCTCCGACGCTTCTCATGAAACTTTTAACCCTTTGTCCTTTCTTTGTTATCGCACAGCAAACACTGCCGTTATTACAATTGACTTCTAGGGACAATTGGGTTTGTAGCATACTGTACCATAATCATGAATTATATTTCTAAAGTAAAAGTAATGAGATGAATACGAGCCCTAACTCTAAAACATGTCAACAACGCTACAGGTTTCTGCGGCTGTCCAGTAAACGTGAGTGTGCGGATCTTCCTATTAACGGTCATCGCGCTCGCAATTCTGGCTCAGACTTACTACTCGGCGTTCCTGTACGCGAAGCTCTCCGACACTCGACGCCCAGTTCCGTTTCGAACTATTCAAGCAATCATAGATGATGGATCCTACACCTTCGGAATGATGATCGGAGCTTCCATCCAGGGAGAATTTCTGGTGAAATAATCACGATACTGAGGCTTATTACAGACTAAGCTGCTGTGCATTGAAAAAACGCGAAAATTGTAATTGATTTTTTTTAATTACAATTAAATTTGAGGAATATTTTCCATTCTAGAGTCGATAAGCATAAATTTTTCAAACTGTTCGATAGACCTTTTTTATATTATTCATTTTTCTTGTTGGAATTTTTTGTGAATTCAATAATGGCAATCACAATGATCGGGCGCAGGACTTTAAGTCTCTTTTTGTCGTAGATCTATCTTGCAAAGATTCGTTTTCTTCATAGATTTCATCTTTCGTTCCTCGGATTAATCTGTAATTTCGATTCATTGTATTCAACAGGTCTCGAAAGACCCGTTGCTCCGACGCTTGTATGATGAGTTCACAGTCCCAAAAGGACTTTTCTCCGAGTTTACAGATGTCTTCAAAAGGGTAATTTTTTAGTACATTAATTTAAGCGTCAATCCTAGCAAATGATGCGCTAATCTCGAGATTTTATTACAAACCCATCACATTAAAGAGTCATGGTATGAATTCAACTGGTGGATCGTTGAAGAAAAAAGTCATTTTGAAAATATGAAGCAATTTTAAGAACGAGCGATTGACATCGTGGGGTGTTTGCAGTCAGGGTATAAATGATGACATGAATTGCTGTCGATAGAAGAAAAAATATTTGAAGCATTGGCCGAAGTGAAGAATTTTTAATGTCTGAGCGCCAGCAACATAAGGCAGCCTCAAGTTTTGTAGTAACCGGCTCTCAACCGTGTGATTTCTTGAACAGCATTGATTCAATAAAATAACAACAAAATCTTGCATTTTCGTTTCATAAAGTCAAATCTGGTGAGCTGATACAAAATTAATGAGTTTTTCGTCATAATAAATAAGAAAATTGCATTGATTGATTGCAGTGTATGATTGAATTTCTGTTATTTTGACTCGTGCCAACGCGATAACACGTTAGGGTGGTACTTCATAATTACTACTCCCACAAATTTTACCGTATATTCATCGCTTAATGTGTTTAAATTTGCTTCAGTATGATAGTAAGGTTAAAGTTATCCTCTTGTGTATATTTTTTTATTTAATATAATTCTTATTTTTGTAACATTTTGTACAAATTTCGGAGTAATAATTTGTACATTTTTTATTTTCATTAAAAAATCAATAAATAAAAGAATTATTCTTACACTTTGGAAGGTAAAAATAGTTGTGTTGACTCGATTTCAAAAAGTTTTTTTTTAAACAGCTTGAAAATGAACGGTACATCGCTGCTCTAAACATGCTCTCCGTCGAAGCTGAGACTCGCCTCAACCCATGCCGATTGATTCGACTTCCCATTAAAATGTTCGCGTTCAAAGCTGGTTTCGCGCTGAGGAAGAAGTCTCCGTATAAGAAAATATTCAATAATGCGTGAGTAATATAAGAGGTATTATATTTATATTCATCATTTCCTGTAATGTACAAAAAATATAAAAAATGGAAAACGATTATAGAATGAAAAGATATCGGTTCTTTTTCTATGTTGTATTTTTAGTCTAAGATTGCAGACACACATGTATATCTGATATTCCTTTTTGAGCTCTATGCGAAGTGTTTTAGATTCTTAATCAAGCAATCGTTAGGGTATACTAAGTCATTATTTGATTTTTATGAATTAAGTATTATTTATTTGGAAATAATGATAAAAAAAAAACAAAAATTATCTCCAAATGAAAGCCATAAAAATTATGGCTTTTGAATATGTTGTCATGCAACGATTCCATTCATCAATGAATCATTAACAAGCACCAATAATTAACATATTATTCAAATTAGCAAAAACTCAACCTTGGAAAAAGGACTAAATAAAAACACTAGAATTTAATATCATGCAGTAATTGTCTTTTACAGGATCCTGAAAGCACTCAACACAGGAGTTCTTGATAGACTTGAGCGTCAGTGGGCGTTTACATCGCCGTCCTGCGCCAGCATTGAGGGAGTACCCATTAACTTGGCTCAGACGATGTCTGCCTTCTTATTTCTTCTTGGTGGCATGATAACGGCCTCACTCATACTCTTGTGTGAACTCTTACTACGAAAATATCGAAAACTTTCAAGTTCAACATGAATGACTTTAATTTTCATTTTAAAAATCAATAAAGAAAAGCATTAATCTCAATAAAGAAAAGCTCAGACGATGTCTGCCTTCTTATTTCTTCTTGGTGGCATGATAACGGCCTTACTCATACTCTTGTGTGAACTCTTAATACGAAAATGTCGAAAACGTTCAAGTTCAACATGAATGACGAGTTTATAAGCAAACATAGTTTGGGAAAATGGTATAGGGACAATTTAATAATAGAGTTAACGCTCGTAAACACAGTTAGGAAAACTAGTGAGAAGAAGATTTAATAACTTCGAATATTAAATGACGAGTTTAAATACAAAATATGATATAATAATTTCTATTATTAACGATGAATTATTTTTAATTTGAGAAAATTCGGTTTTTATAAATAGCGGCTTCGAGATGCGTGCAGCTAAGTGACATCCATACAAAGTTTTTTTAACGAAAAAAGCAAATTTAAGAATTACATTAGGAATCGTTGGAAAGAGTAGGCCTTGTAAACAGACTGCAGTTAATTTAGGATGAGGCCAAAAATTCTAACATTCATCGAAGCTTTAATGAATTTATAATAAATATGCATTAACAAGAATATAAAATATGCTTTACTAGGTGATTTTGGTTGTTATAAATCAAATCCCTTATTTTTAAATGAGTGAGAATGAAAATTTCGTAGATTAAAACCATATATTTTGCATGTGCACTTTCCTAATAATAAAATGATCAACAAACCCTATATTTTTCCCATCGATATTTTACGAATCTGTAAGCAATTTGAGTTCATAATTGTTAAGATTTTATTAATAAATTGGCCAAGTAACAAAGTTCGCCGTCAGAAATAACAATCAATCTTATAATGTAAAATCTTGATTGTCGTTGAGTAGCAATCTTTGTACAATCAATCTGGAGAACTTTATGCGGCAACAAATCAAACTAATTACACAATTATCTACAAGAAGTTGAGCCTGATATTTACGCAATGTGCAATACTGCATTATTGGTTCCATTAAGAAGTATAGTTAGAACGTATAACTTTTGGAACTCATTATGGATCAAGCATAAAAATGTTGGTATATGACCTAAATAATTTGTATTATCCTGTCATAATTTCTGGTTAATTATACTGACATCATCAAAGATGCTAAGCTGAGAATTGAATTATATATTCAATACAGTTTAACTAAATATATATCATGCACATTCTATACTCATAACAATTTCGACACTTCAATTTTTAAGAAATTGTTTTACAAAAAAAAAAAAACAATTGAGTTTTGTAATGATTTCTTTGCTTGTTATATGGCAGATTTTGACTATAGCTGATATTATTTCAATTTTAAGTGATGTGATCAGAATTGTCTGGAGGAATATTTTCAACATTCTCATCTTGATAAGGTACCATAATTTCAAATATGATCTTGGTAGTGGAGTGTATATCAAATGAAATTCCTGCAAATATTCATAGCTGTAGTTTAAGATGGTTTGCATCGTTTTTAGAAAGAATAAGGGAGTAAAGGGATTTTATGTTGTAACTATATTATTGTTTAAAATTCATACTATATATTATTACAAAATGCTTCGAAAAGAAGCTCCATCATTAGTTTAAAAAGTCAACAACAATAAAAATAAATAGATTTTCTTTCAATGTACCTCTTTCAACGTTTTAAACTAAAATATAGAGATTTTTTAATTTTGCTTCTCAAATCATCTCTCTGAACAGGCAACTTACATAATGGTCAGGTTTTCCGATTTAACAAAGTAAAGTATAGTTTTTAATAACATGCAGCACTTGCATGCCAGCAATCTACTTCAACATTTTAAACAATTGCTATGTATTTTGAGGAAGTTGAGAAGTGAAGAACAGGATCTAAATTATTAACTCGTTAATTTTCAGTGCATTATATATGAATTAAATCGATTTATTAGACTAGACTGTGATTATAGAGTCTGCTATAAGGATATATTTTGAATTAACCTATAATTCAGTATGTCGATAATTATATGTAAAATTTTCAAGAACATCTCATGTCGAAATGTTCATTAAAAGAATCTATTTACATTGCAGGCTATTAAATTAGTCTGAGTCTAGAGCGTTAAAGATACAAACGCTGCATCATGCGTGTGTGTTCAGGGTCGAGAACAAGTGGCATGTTTAGTAAGTTTTTCCAATAGCAAAATTGCAATACTCAATCCATAAGCCACGGAAAGCAAACAAAATAATGACAGTGTTTGTTCCAAAGTAACGGCAGTTACCAATTCTGGAGTTGCTTTCTGGAAATTAAATTTTATCCGATCGTAGTTTATCTTTTGACGAACCCCGTTCTCCCAGAGCTTGAGGAGCCTGAAAATCAAGTAGGATCAAAAGAATTTTTGATTATGGGTAATTTCCATATGCAGGGCTTTAATAATTAAAATTTTTTAATATTAAAATACTATTTTATCTGCAGAGACATCTGGTCTTGAACACCATATATTAAAAAATAAATACAATTAACTGATCTCAGTTCATTGATGTGATGTATATCAATCTCTGTAAGGAAACTCTCACCCTTTGTTCAGTAACTCAATGTACGGAGACCCTTTTGCCACGGAATAGCCTGAAGGAAACTTGAAGAGAATACCAGGCATGACGGAGAAGAGATTCTTGTTGAAATTCTTGTCAAGCATGTAGCTCTGCTGATTAATCAGCATTATAAGCCGCTCATCAAGTGCCTAAAACAAATGAGACAATTGATCACGGCATTTTTGGTGCAGTTGGGGCGACTCTATATCAGTCGGCGCAAGTGAGGTGAAAAGTATTTTTCGAAACATTAGTTATGAAAGTTTGAGAAGTTAAATGATAGAACTACGAGAATAATACTATTACCTCAAATTGCCAAGCATTTTGTTATTGAAAATATATGCTTTATCTTGCAGGTTTTCTTTGCATAGAGATGACGGAAATAATTCAAGACACGTTCATACCCGCTGTAAGCCTTCGTCCATGCTATGAACCACGCCTCCTTTTGCACTGATCAACTCCACCCAGACTCGTTGTAGCAATGGATTATCGGAGTACTTGGAAATAATAAATTTCATATTCAAATTACATGTAGAGAACAGTTCCGCAAGGTGCAATGAAATTTCTAAACGTTTATGTTTCATCAAATCATAGGGGGAATACATATTTATTTTCATGGGACCAAATCATAAAAACGCCACAATCAGCCTTTGACGTCAATATATGTTGACATTTTAAGCGATATCAATATCATACTCGTTCTGTTTTGCACCTTCTACACACAAATGTGATAAATCAGAGAACGTACCTGAATTTCTGTTTTGGTAGACCATCCATCTACCACGCCTATTGCATAAGACCTGTCGTTCAAAACAGATTGGAAACCATTGAACGGGTATGCAGGTAGCTGTACGGTCAACATAGCGTACAACCAACTGGTGTAGTATGTTGCGATGAGAAATGTTGATGTGTAGGTGACAATGACTGCGATACGGCTGGAAAAACCCGCGTATACACGTTCCGAGCCTGAAAAGGTGCAGACACTCTACTGACTTCACTGAGAATTTACGTTGATTTAAAAACTGTATTACGTATTTAGTAGGTATATTATATGTTGTATATTATATTGTTTGTAATAAAATATTGCGATTCACAAAATTGCAAATTAAAAAATCGCAAAGAGCATACAAAATTTTTATTTCGTTTGACTACATGTCACACTGCGAACATCAAGTATTAGCATAATGAATTTTTAGGCTAGCACTCTCAGCTTCAAATTTACGTGTTTATACTGAGGCTAACGTTTAAAAATTTCACCTTGCGCGGCAAAAGCACCAATTACAAGAAGCCAAGTATCTTGCAGCGGTATCTTGCTAGGCTCGAACGGACTTTTCTTAATAATTCCGTACAGAAACAGGGTCAAAAAACCAGTCAGTGCAGCGCAGCTCAACCAAACTCCACCTGAAAATTCTTCAACGTAACGTGACCAGGTCGAGTCAACAGATGTGGTCCGCTTCATGACCATTACGGCTCTGTAGTAAGTCATGTCTTTAATGCATGCGAAGTAAAGGAAGGATCAAATTACTGTATCATTTAGATCTCAGCTTATTTAGGACCAATCCAAAATAGTTGGTAGCAAATAGACAAAATGAGCTCAAGTTTTTTTTATCTTCCAAACAGGATTAAGTAAGAAAAAGTGAAAAGAGGTGAGTCGATTAAATTAATTAGAGTTTTAAAAATGTTACACAACCATATCTTTCCTAATAAATATGGGGTTTTCCTCTGAGCGTAAATCACTAGTTAATCCGAGGCAAGCGTTCATAAAACCTATTCTCGAATGACTCTTGATTGGAAGTCGTATTGAATTAGTTATGCTAAATGGAAGTCAACAATTCAGCAATGGGGTATCATAAAAACCCCAGTTAACACGACCCCAGTGTTTGTTTTGTGGCGCCACAGAGAGCCATGCTGAAGTACCACCCCCGACAGCTATAATGTGCCGCCCGCCAGCAACACTAAGAAATGAACTAAGCTTCATGAAGCAGCTACCAACAATCTACAGTAACTCGATTGACTATGAGATTTGAAGACTATGTTTTCAGGTATCAAAAGCATACAACACTTACATATCTGTATTTCTCACCCGCTTAACTCGTTGGCTACAAGAAAGTGTATTGCTCTGGAACGAGCGATGGTGTTGTCAAGGCTGGAAATTATAAGATCTCCTCTCCCAGCCACGAGTTCTCCCACTGCTCCCGACCACGTACCGTCAGAGCGTAAGGCTCCATATTCTCCATCTTTCGGCGTAATGTACTTGCATCTGGAAGCGAAAAACGTCTCCTATGAGTGCATGTCCAGCATTTAAAACACGAGGTATTCCTAGCATTGCACAGGTTTGCAATCAGAGAGCTGTTTCATTCTTTTAATTCGATTCCTGTGTATTTTGATGCGCTGAAAAACGGGAAAAAATTCTGTAAGAAATACGGGACATCATAATTTTTCTTACAATGAAAAATTATGCTTACATACTTAACAAGTTTAAAGTCAGAATTACTGTTCATTGATTTAAAAGAGGGCATTCTAAATATGGAATGAAGAAAATACACAACTCTCAATTCGAAAATCTTTCAGAAGAAGCTGACGAAGCATTCCGCCGTTTTTGTTTTCTTGGTTGCTTACGAACAAATTTGATTTATTGCATTGATGTTGAACGTTCGATGAGTCAATTCAAAATCTATTATGATTCTACGTATTGGTGTCTATTTATAGATTCTTTAAAACGAAGTATTGGAACAATGTTGCTCCATAACGGTGGTTTTTATGCTCCCATTCCTGTTGGTTATTCCACACTCCTCGAGAAAACTTAAGAAACTTAAATATAAAGACTTCTATTGACGAATGTGCTAGGATATGAAAGTGCATGCTGCTCGAGCGACAAGCTGGATCCATCAAATACGCTCGTTCCCTGTATAAATGGGACAGTCGAAACCGAAAGAATCACTTTAACAAAATAAATTATAGCGTAAGGTGCTCAAAGTTAGTAAAAATATGTCCGAGAAAATTTGGTACCTTCTGATAAAGTTCTTTCTTCTACTATCTCTATACCCATATTATTGGGATTGTTACAGCAATTTTTGAAATTACTCAAAAGAGAAGGCAAGCGTTTCAAACACTTTGTTTCGAAAATTTCTACCCTCACCTAGGCAAAATTGAAGAAAGGCTTGTTTGTCGGATCTGAAATCAGGAAGCTTGACGCTGATCAAGAGTTCATCAAAACCATGAAAAGGCCTCAAAAAGTAGCGTTGAGATTGAATTTTAAGAAGTCGTAGATAAATGTTCAGATAATAACAAAAATCCTGCGGACAAAAAGATCGTCGTACGAATGTTGAAAGCTTTTCAAGCTTTAGATAGACAGATGAGTTTAAACTGCATTTCATTTATCACGCATTGTCTATTTTATTGAAAACTTGGAAGCTGTATGTATAAAGCAAGACGAAAGATTTCCCAAGACATTAAGGAGAAAGAAAAGAGATACCAAGAAGATGGAACATTCTAATGCTTGCGTACTACTGCTGCATTCTTGAGATTTATATTCCAGATGCATCACATAAGGGTGATGGTACCAAAAGCATAAAGCAAAACAGGAATGATGGGGAAGTCTCGATTTAGCGTGCATCATTGAGCTTATTTCAGTTTCAAAATTTAAATCAATGAAACTTTCGTGATAAATTTTTGTAGCATTCTATTTGTTTTTATCTTTGAATGAGTGCCTTATTTGACTCTCTTCTATAAGTTGTTAGAAATATGAAACGAAGAAAAAACGGTGGATAATTTTCGGATTCATATCTTTCTCAAACACAGAGAATTGGTGAAGCTTGCTTAAAAGAATTTTCAGACCTCTGTTATATACTAACACCTGAAACAAGTTGTGTACACAGTCTTTCCAGCGCTGTAACCTTTCATAGAAAGCCATATTCAAGAATAGATAGAGGGAGTTTTTGAGCAATGCAACGGCCATGATGATGTAATGGACGAGGAGCGGTCGTGTCACTTCCAAATGGATGTAAATGCGCACGTGTTTCCATCATGTTGGAAAGGTTTAATAACCTTATTTCATTTCATGCATGATTTGCAGTTATCGTTTTAATCATGTGTCAAGCTAACCGAAATTCGCGTCCAATAAGCGCTAACAGGAGGAAAATTATCTTCACATGCAAATACTGCCGAACTTAATTACAATATATTAAAATTTTGATTGCCATGGCAGTGGTGTATCATTATTTATTCTAATTCATTTCAACGCATACATAATTAGTCATTCATACAGTACTAACAGCTTTTTTAAACTTCTTCATATTCAATTATAAGTGTTGTGTGTTCTTCAATAGCATTTTGCAGCTGGCCAAGCGTCATCTTATCCTATTTTACACGACTTATTCATTGCCAAAAACGTACGTGAAGTTGAGTGCGCTTGACAGAGCCTCCGACATCAGAAATTGCCATTGTTCAATCGCGTCTTCAGTTTCCGAGTTCTGGAGACAGCGAAATAGAAATGGTAGTACATGTTAATCAAATGCAATGAATCTCCATATTTAAACATGGATATTAACAACATATTTTTAACTATTTAAAACATTAAAGGACTTACTATTACGGTCGGGTTTTTGTGTGATAAATGAACTTGATGGATATTTTGTAAAATATTCTTGGAATGCTAGTGAGCGATTCATTATTACATGAATATTAAGACAGCACCCATTTAGTTTTCGTGTTAAACCGATTTGCACTAATTAAATAAATATTTATTCTTTTGTAATACTAGAATATACCGTAGTGTATTTTTCGTGAAATGTAGGAATTGCTTCAACCTACTGTTTCAAACTGCTCAGCATTTCCGGTTTTTAAAATTAAAAAAAATTATAAGGAATAAATAAAAAATAATAATTTGATCTTTCTTTAATGCCATTTGTATAACGATAGTATGTGGAAGTTTTTTTTTCTATCATGATGTGAGTCAGATTCTAGAAGTTGATGAATACTAGCGCAGTCAACGCACTATTTCGCTGTTTTTACACAACTGGCCCATAAAGCCCAACTGGCCAATCCCAGCCATTATGAACTGCAATTGTCAACGATTAGTTGATTTTTGATTAGTTACCTATCTTCGTATGAATGTTTGAAATTACGGGGTTGCATGTCTGTGCTAAGACTTACGACATAAAGACATCGCAACGTGTGTCCTTGGAAATTCTTCACGTAAGGAATTCCGTTAACCGTTGATGATGTTACACCCGTTGATTGTTCCTGAAAGTAAGAGTATTTAAAATAGTGCGTAAAAAATCGCTCAAAAATGCAGGGCAGCTAGATGAAAATGATTTTTCTGAATATACCTGAGTTTGAATGAATTTTTTTTATTTTGTCTACTGATCGTGCTTTCTTGAAAAGTCCTAATAATCCATCTAAACGATTTTTTTAATTCAGTAGAAAATGATGGAAGAATATGCTGCATTATTGCTTTCATTATTGTTCTGAAATATTGGTCCTGTACCACAAAAAAGCTCCATTCGTCTTTTTTAATTATGCCGTATGCATGACATGCGTGCTAGAGGCATTGTGAACGTCTTATACCAATGTACGGGCACTACCAAAGCTCGTAAATTTTTCACACATGAATAAGTGTGGTCGTCGCACGGTAGAGCGCGGGATGATAAAAAATAAAGAACGCGCTATAACAAAGGACATGTGATCGAGTTCACCGAACCAAAAGCAATTGTTTTAAAATTTTAGACTACAGTTCATAGCTTAAGCTCTAGGTGCATTGTTGTTCATACTTTCTTTATGTATTTATTTAGATTTATTGTTCAAGTTGATGTGTTTTATGTTTGCTAAAACATTTAAATATCTTCTTCATTTAATTTCGTGACGCTTCGGAAAAGCAGATTTTTACTCATGAATGTCTATTCTAGTAGATTTTTAAGCTATTCTCTGTAAAATAGATCTTCGCAATTGAATTAATGTCTTTCTTTTTCAGTGTCTAAGTAGTGATGAGGTTTAGAACGGAAGATTTTTCATATAAATTATGCCAATATAAGCGGCATAGATATTTATGTCGCCAACTCATGCTCTCATAGCCTATTAATGAAAGCGTATTAATCGAACATTTTTTCTGTGAAAACTTCTATGGTTTATTCGCATAAACGTCCTCGCGTCAGCACTCAATAATCCCAAATTGGTGGCAGTACTACCTCATAGAACTGCTTTTAAAATCAACAAATTCATTGGATCTTCTTTGATATCATATTGTGCGGAGGAAATAATGCATTAGATACCAATTCTATCACATTTACATTACTATAACAGGACTATAAAATTGTGCGTTACGCAAGCAATAAACTTCAAAAGAAAATAAACTTTTGAAAATAAATTTTTCGCAAAAGAAAATAGACTTTATAAAAAAGAATTGATCTGCGCCTTGTATTAATTAAACCTAATGATGTGAGAGACGCACATAGATATGATCAACGTGGAGAGGATGTCACATAAGTCAGGACTCACCCAAAGTGCAACTTGCTGTGACATGACTGGAGTTTCGGGCGCAACAAAATACTGCTTTATTAGAGTTACTCGAGCGAGGAGTGTGTCAACCTCGGCAATAGTGATCTGAAATTCAAGCTGCTAATAAAAATTGTTATTTATATATTTACACACATAAAAAGCAATATATACTGACAACTAGGTAAACATCTAAGTGGTTTGATAGTTTATAAACCTCTACTTAAGAAAAGAGAAAATCAGCCCTTTTTCATTCAGATATAATAACAGTGAATTTGTAACAATGTCGAGCAAACAATTAATAGGCAATGGTTCAAAATCTTTGCATTTGTTTGCTCAATATCATATTTGCAAGTTCTTCGCGCATTTGCTTAAAACCAACACACAACATTTATTATTTGGACACACAAATAATAAATGTAGTAGCAAACGTGAAAATGAAATTTTTATTAAATTGAATGAGATTTAGACTTACGAATCACCTTATTGAATGGGAGTTGAGACTCGTTTCTGAGAGTCAACGTTCAATTATAACAGAATAATTATAATAATATTGATATAATTAAAACATTATTATAATTATATTATATTATTATGGTTGATTATAGTTATATTATAAAATAACGGAAACATGTACCTACCAGGTTATCTAAGGGCAGCTGCAGAAGAGGCGATGGTACCTGGCACAGTAACACCACAATA